AATACAATTATTCTTTTTGAAAAAAAATCACCAGAAAAAATGTGCGGTTTTTGATCACCAAATACCATGTCCTCCCTCCACTGTACATACAATATGGCAATTGCCTGCAATGTAACAAAAAAGAAAAGAAAAAAAAAGGATACAAGAAAGGTAAAATAAATGCAGAATCCATCATTGTCTATCATCCGTATGCATCGTAATTTATAGTCAAAAATCTGCGTTGAGAAAAGTACGGCGCATGATCTGATCCTCCCTTTGATACAATATGAGTAAAGTAAAGCCCATTGCTCTACAAGTAACCTTGTCAAAGTATTCTCCCCATCGTACACTGTGGTGATGCAAAGTGAAGTATCGTGCTTATTCTTGCATAACCATGTAGCACATCAAGTATCCTGATCGACCAATGTATGTATCTTCAAGAAACCAAGTCGCCTTGTAGCTTCAAAATAAACACCATGCTCATAAGGACGGAGGCGAAGTAAACGACAAAGTAAAGAAGCCCCTATCCCACGGCAAGACACCATGCTCATGAATACAAATTCCAAATCCATAGCATGCAATTGTGGTACATTATAGAATCTCATCTATTCCACCTATGCAAGTTCTGCTTCGAGGGCAGCAGTCAAATCCGCTTCTAACTCCGCCTCAAAATCAGCATCATCAGAGCTGGTCGCTGGCTCAACTGCTGGGTTATTATCAGAGCTTCCTTGTGAATCATCTTTCTCAACCTCTTCATCATCATCATCTTCCAAAACAATGGTCTCGATTTTCTTTGGTTCTTGCATCCAGGCCTTCACTGGTGCTCCAAGTGCCGCTCTCAAAGCCTCTTGAGTTGCTTTAGGGTTGTAAAGAGGTGCGTGGTTACGAGCCTTTTTTTGGGGAGGTAGTGGCACCGAAGCCCATCTGGAACTGGAACTCGCACTCTGTTGAAAGACTTGTCCAGCAACATCAAGAGTAGGTAGTGACTTACGACGGGTAGAATCATCACAGACGGGGGTTTCTGCTGTCTTATCGGCCATATCTCTCGTACGCTTCAAAGAATTGGGAGTATCTGGCATGGCAGGAGCGGCGTTTTCAAATCTCCAAGCTGCTACAGCTGCCTCGTTTTCGAAATATTTGCGATTTCTCTCATGGGTCTTTGCTCTGCATTTGCCGCACCTCTCGCGTCTGGTCCAGATCTTCTTGCTAAGATAAAATTCCTGTTGGATGTGATTGCAGAGGCGACCATCCTTATGGTAATTGAGACACAGCCACGATCGATCACCTCCCGGGCTTGTCCCGAGTGTGGTAGGAACACCCACTGCTCTGATTTGCAAAGCGTCTTGAGTGGAGGCGTTTACTTGGTATTGTCTGATCAATTTCTTCAAATCGTTTTCTCTAATCGTTGCTTGGTTTCTTTCGTTGAGTATCTTTTGCTTCAGTTCCTCTACTTCAATACTTCGTCCTGTTGTAAAATTTAGCAAGCGCTCGACAAATGAGTTAAGAATTGATAAACTTACCAGGAAATACAATGTTAAATGCATGTCTGAGTCCTTCATCCACCCTAATCTTGGTCTCAAATCTTTCCATGGTTTCCCTAAGCTGAGGTGTGATCGAGTTTCTATCTAAGACTTGTGGTAAGGATTGATTGATAGAAGTGTTGGAGGTTGGATGAGATGGGAGATGAAGGCTCGTAGCCTGCTCTGTAGATTGTTGGGTAGCTGGGACAGACATAGGTTGTTGGTTGATCGGTCGTCGAAATGGCGTATTACCGAGGTTTTGTTCAGGGAGAAATTCGGTGAATGATCTTCGCTGAGTACGCGGCTGCTGGTGTGAAAGTTGATGATGATTAACATTCGATGTGACTTGCATTTGGGGAACTTGCGGAATAACTCCTAGTGGAATGCCAGTCACTCCAGAAGGCTGTTGCTGAACCATCTGGTGAGAATTTGGAACATAGAGTTGGTGAGTAGCCGCCGAAGGGGTTTGTAAGATTCCTGGTGTGATGATTGCGTTTGTAAATGATTGCGAAGAATGGTTGTTGAGAGGAGAAGCCGGATTGATGACTGGTCGTGTTTGAAGATTTCTGACCCGATCATCAAATGGTGTGATCGGGAGGTCAGTGTTAGAAGAATTGTTCGACCCAGATGATGATGTTTTTGAGAGAGCTGATTCTTGTCCAGATACTGGCTGAGATATCTCGCTTGTCACCTTAGGGGTAGTGTTTGACGACAAGCTTGGTTCTGCTGTCTTTCGAGTTGGCATGGCTTGTTGAGAGAAAACGGACAAGGACTCAGTGATTGGACTGTCACTTTCTTGAGATGTTGACCCAGAGGATGATGAAGTCGTAGTTGAAGCTGAATTGAACTTTTGTCTTTTGGCAACTGGTGGTTCGACGTAATCTTCGGGGCATTTTGGAGCGCTCGCGAATAAATCATCCATATTTCCACTTCGGAAGTAGAGATCTATATCGTTCACGGCGTTGGTTCGCTCTTCATCCATAGAGAAAGAACCAAAAAGGTCATCTTCTTCGAAGCCAAGCGTATTCTGGTCATCGAACTGCTCATAGGAGGGAGGTGTAAGTCCAGTGAGGTTGTTTTGACGAGAAACATGAGAATCTTCAGGAGCATAATTACCTCCAATTCTGTCAAATTCATTCCGAACCACACCAATTTCAGGTGCGTTCTCCATCTTGAGATGTCTTGAGGTCTCTTCGATGTGTAATGGTGATAACAACTGCCTTGAGTCGCAAGAATATTTTCCACCACGAAAGTGAGTTGGATTTTGGGTAGAGTAGATATGCTTCTGACACTGTGCTCTGAACAAATTGATCGCAAGCAATCTCAAAGATCAAATTTGAAGACAAAACTTTGTCAACAGTAACTTGTGACAGTCGCTCGTGGGAAAATTCTAAATTTCAAGGACCCCCAGTTGGGTAGTTTGTACAAATGGATGGTAGGTAGGTTTGGTTTTGATGGCTTGGTAGCCTTGAGATATTTTTCAATCTCACAACTCAGCTCAATAATACTCAGTTATTCTTCTTCTTCTTCTTCAGCGTAAAAATTGCTTTTGATGATGAAATCTTTGTAATATTTGAAGTTGTAAAATTTAGAAAATTATTCGTGGGAAAATATCATATCATTATATATAGAAGAGAGAAAGTGAATAAATACAAGGCTACCTAGGTAGGTAGGCTCACCTTTCCAATTCAAGTATACTTTCGGATAACGCTAAGCATGGGGTATTTCAGGGAAAACTAGATCAAATCCTATATATTTCGATCTAAATTCATGCACTAGTAAAGGATTCCTGCCAATAGGAATACTATATAAAGTATAAGTTTATTTAAATAATATACTAAATAGATAGTTATCGATTTAGTGTATAACCCCTTGATTTTCTTATCTCTATAGTATCATGTTTTGATTGGGTCCGAACATTTTAGTTGGGAGGGATATAAAAAAAACTTATGCAAGGCTACGTAGATTACAAGGCTGAAATTAAAGACTGATATATCAAATGAAGAAGGCGGTCAATTGAAATCTATCTCATTTGAGTAAAGAGATTCCCTAACGTCAGTGGTAAGTTGTAATTTAATACGAGTAGAACTTTATATATATTTACACTTACTTACTTACTCTTACCTACTTTATCAAGAAGGTGCTCTTGACAATTCAGCTCATAATTATTATAGCCACTGTACCGTACCTACAGCTTGCTCAAGTATATTTCTTGATCATTGATTCATCTATTCAATTGATTTAAATTTGTGAGAGAAGACATGTCCGTCATTTTGTGTACTGGTAAGCAATGTTCATTCATTCATTCATTCATTTATCAGACTACAGACTACAGACTAGGAGGTACTTATCTACTAGCAATTGGGGTGAATCGTTCTTCTGCCTTTTATCTTCCCTTCCATTCCTTCTTCCTTTCATAGTTATCATCCATCTCAAAATGTCATACCTACCCTCTTTCGAACACCCCGAAACTGACACTCTTTGCGTTCTTGTCACAGCTGGCTATGACCACACTATCAGGTATGAATAACTCATAGCCTTGCGTGTTATATACAGGTTGCTAAAATTGTACAATTCTTAGATTTTGGGAAGCCCTCTCAGGTATCTGTTCTCGAACAATTCAACACCCTGATTCTCAAGTCAATCGATTGTGCATCTCTCCCGATAAGCGTTTCCTAGCTGCGGCTGGCCACCACACCGTCAAACTATACGATATCAAGTCAACCAATCCCAATCCGCTTCTCACATTTGAAGGACATACGGGAAACATCACAGGTGTTGCATTCCATTGCGAAGGAAAATGGATGGTAACAAGCTCTGAAGATGGAACTGTTAAGATTTGGGAGACTCGAAGCGGTACTGTGCAAAGAAGTTACAGTCATGGCTGCCCAGTCAATGACGTAGTGATTCATCCAAATCAAGGTGAAATCATCAGCTGTGATCGTGGAGGTAGTGTTCGTATCTGGGATCTTGCGGAAAACAATTGCTCTCACCAGCTGATTCCGGAGGAGGACGTACCCGTTTCTAGCGTCACTGTCGCTACTGATGGATCAACCTTGTGTGCTGGCACCAACTCAGTATGTGAATGCTCGAGAAATTCATTATAAATATGCTAACTTCTGTTCAGGGCAGCGTTTATGTTTGGCAGCTTCTTCAGTTTCGCGAGAAGACTCAGCTTATGCCAATTACTCACTTCAAGGCACATAACCAGTACATCACACGAGTTCTTCTATCTCCAGATGTCAAGAAGCTCGCAACATGCAGTGCGGACCATACCGCCAAAATCTGGGAGGTAGATTTAACAACTCTAGCACCAAATCCCAACCAGCCTCAAACAGAAGCAAGAGCATTCAATCTTGAGTCAACCCTGACGGGACACCAACGATGGGTATGGGATTGTGCATTCAGTGCCGACTCCGCCTACCTTGTCACTGCCTGCTCCGACCATTACGCTCGACTTTGGGAGTTGCACAGTCAGTCGGTCATCAGACAATACAATGGTCACCATCGGGGTACCTTGCTCCAAAAATTTCCCTCGTTTGCTCCTTCTAACCTGAACTCTGCAGGACTCGTTTGCGTTGCTTTAAATGATTATTCCGAGGCTCGTTAGTTCGCTTCTACTTGCTTACGTGCTTGCTTACTTGCTTTGATTTGGGCGTTTACGATTTTTAGCTGGTCGGTTGCGGGAGTTTTGGGATTTGTAGTTGATACGCAAGGTTTCTAGGCTTTTATACTGCATTTTTAGTACTGATTTTTTCATTCATTTACATTTACTTACTGGGGTTTTCTCTATGCATGCATGGCTTTGGCGTATGTATGGATGGGTATCGGTTCAGGTTCATATGGCGTTGATTCATACCCTTGGATGGCTTGGCTCATTGATTGACCTTGATGATATATTATATTCGTCAATTATCAATTTGAATGAAGATACTTTACATCTATTACTAGTGTCATGAATGTGAATTTTTGTGGATGATTGTGAAATGTATTGTTGAGGTTTGGTCTGTGGTGTGTTGTTGGCATTTTATCATAGTATGGTGTGGTGGATGCTGTTTATACGTTGTTGGGTCATATTGGTTGGGTTGTGCTTATATGATGGGATTTGTGGTTGTTTTTGTCTTTGTTTTTGTATTTACTGTAGGTGGGGGGAAGTGTGGGAGAGGGAGAGGAGGAAACAACAAAAGGGAGGGAGAAAGAAGGGGGGGGGGGTGAAGGCGAAGGGGAGAGAGAGGAGATGAGAGGAGGGGGAAAATGGAAGGAGAGGTAGTGAAAGAGAGGTGGAAAGAGGGGAGAGAGGTGGGGAAGGAAAAGGGAGGGTGGAAGGAGAGGAGGAAGGAGAGGGAGGAGGAGAATTATGGCCGGTAGATCATCTGCATTATAATTTATATTTATTCCCTACTCGTCGTAGTTGAAAAAAATATACTGGTAGGCTAGGTTGGTTGGCTAGGTTGGTTGGTTAGATTCGGGTAGTAAAGTAATAAAGTAATAAAGTAATAAAGATGAGGATAGAGGAGAAAGGACAGAGATAGAGAGAAGGAGAAGGAGGAGGAGAAGGACAGGAAAAGAAAGGAGAAAAGGAGGAATAGGGAGTAAGGAGAAAGGATAGGGATAGGGATAGGGATAGAGATAGGGACAGGAAAGGAAAAGAAAGGAGAAAGGACATGGACAGGAATAAGGTAGGTAGGTATACATGTATATAGGTATCAATGGTATTAGTGTTGGTTTTCTCGATATAGTTATATGTGTGCTCGTATATATATAATATATATAACTTCAAGATTGGGATGATGAGTATGCGTATAATATAAGTATGAATATGAGTATAGACTGATATAGACTGATATAATATGATATGATATAATAAAAAATTAGTGAGTATCGGTAAGTGAAGGGGGGAATAGTAGGATCAGAATCAGAATCAGAATCAGAATCAGAATCAGGATCAGGATTAGAATAAGGATGAGGATATAAAACAAAAACTATTCTATATTACTATATATACTTCATTGCATTGTAGAAACGGTATAAATATATATTATTATATATACTGAGAACGAGGTACTGGTACTGGTATTATAATAATATATCATCACATCACAATATATCATATTCAAAATATAATCTCATAAACCTTCACAGGAGAGATTTGGAGCAAGTACTCATTTCATATTCACATTTATATTCACATTCACATTCACATTCAAATTCACATTCACATTATAAAAATTCATATTTCGAAAAGAGGCCAAGTGATATATATCATAGTAATAGATATCTAGTATTAAACAAACTTATACAATACAATATACAAGAATGAAATTTAAAAAGAAAAAGAAATTCGTGAGCATCATATCATGAATGAAGAATCTCGATTATGAGAGGTAGAAAAGGAAAAAAGAAAAAAAGCAAAAAAAAAAGGATCATTCATGAGGGGGTATCTCCTTAAGTCCATCCTTTCCATATCCATCCATGTATCTATCCATTCGCCAAACTCCTTTGAAAACGCCATGACCATGACCATGGCCACATCCTATTGATTTCATTACGGTTGCTTTTCAGATCTATTCCGTTCCATTCCTTGATACATTTTCATGTATTCTCCATCCTCATACTCGTGCTCATGACCTCTCAAATTCCAATTCTAAATCCTGGTGAATCTAGTAATATTACTCGCAACACTATAGGTGCTACTTCTTGGCGCGGGAGGGGGTCTCAAATTCGCGGGATGCATGGCGGTAGGTGGACGTTCGACACCTGGAACTATTGGCGAAGATCGATCTTTTCTATTATCATACGTCTCTCCAACCTCTAGATCTGGGTGATAGGGTTGAGGATCCGAGATGACGGGTTTGCTGATGTGAGATGCGCGGAGGGGGAGACGGAATGGGAAACGTGATTTGCGGCGCTCGGCCGGATTGCTGTAGTACGAGGGGAGATCTTGGTTGAGGGAGGAAGGGAGGGATAGACGTTTTTCGTAGGGATTTGATGGGGTGGTGGCGCCGTGGGCCCGGATTTGTCGGGCGGTTTTTCCTTTTTCCGAGAAGATGAAGGACTAGATTCGGGTATTAGCAAATTCCTATAAAGGAGAGGGGGAATGAAAAGGATGGGAGAGGAAACTTACAGCAACAACGTTAATAGTTCCCATAATAGCCGAAAGACACCCAGAAGAGATAACCACACGCCACATAGGTAATCCTAGGTTGTGTACCGAAGTAGCATTCTTATTCAAGTTTCCAAGAATTTCGAAGCCGACGGCTAACATGGAGAGACCAAGGAAAATGAAGCCGTTGTGGGGACAGAGAAGGGGCCAGTAGGTTTCAAAGTATTTTTTGAAGAGGGAGAGTTCGGAGATGATGAGGAAGAGACCGATGGTGCTGGTTATGAAGTGGGAGACGCCATCGAAGAAGAAGAACTAGGGGTTTGTTAGTGAGAAGGAAGGATGAAGAATGAACGATGGAAAAGAAGGAAAGGAAATAAGAGGGAACGTGAGGGAAGGGGAGGACATGGGAATAGGGACTTACGTTAGAGGTTTTGACGGTCATGACGAGCATGATCCAGCTGGCTCCGACGACGTCTAAGAGCGCTATGATATTCATGACGCGAATGACATTAAGAACGAGGAAGCCTCGACCTGCCTGCTTGATGCCGAACATGATGATTGTCTTATATTAAAGAACAAATGTATGTAAAAGTTCCGAGTCTAAGAAGTGTGTTAGCCAAGTGTCTCGAATATCAAGGGTTATAGGAAAGAAAGGACTTACAAATGGGGCAAGGAAGTGTAATAGTTTACTGCCTGCAGTAGATAAAAGAGTTTCGAAATACTTTCAAAGTATGTATGTAGTAAATTTGTAATTTAGTAAGTAAAGTTGTGTAGTTGATTGTAGTTGATTGTGAAGAAGGTATGATATTTTCGAAGGAAAAAAAGTAAGAAACAGATTCAGATTCGTAACAGGTAGGGAATATATAAATTAAAACAATTGTTCGTTATTGAGACCCAGACCTTATTGTCTGAATAACCTAACAATAGCAAGAAAGAAATTCTGAAAAGTCTATTGTCCATGGACAATAGATAAAGAGACGAAAAGTGAATGTATATGAAAGACTGAAAGAAGCTTCCCCAAAATCCTTTGACACAAACTTGACGCCTACAAGACCTTGCTATTGTGGGGTGAATGAACTCTTTATTAACCCATAATTAGAAAAGGTTCAAGGAAATCCAATAACATATAAATTACCTATTGATTCTTTGACCACATGTACAAACTCTAGAACTTATTCAGAGAAGGTCCAGAAATGACAAGAATGAATGGACGAAATATGTAGGTCTGACCGCTGGAACTCGATATGCTTCAAGGAGACTCCTCCCAGGCGCGAAAGAGACGAAAAGACGTGCTTGACATCGATCATCGTAGTATGAAGTGACTTGTTATCCAATAGAATAGAGGAGCAAAGCATGAATTGGAAGCCAAGTCAAATGGAGGTTTGGACAAGGGCAGTTTTGAGATATAACTGTAGAGTTCGAATCATTGGATGAAGAATGCTTTGAGTAAGGATGTTTCATGATCCTGTATGTAGTGTATGTAGTGACAAAAAGAAGAGGGAAACAAAGAAACAGATAGCCAATTGTTGAGGTTCTTTTGATGAATATTCATGTTCTTTTTATAACTTCGTTCGCAAATAGATTTTTATTGTTTTCCATCAAATTGTGAACCTCGAATCCTAATTCCAATTCCATTCTCCCAATCAATTCCATAATCTTTTACTCGAGTAAATCATCAAAGTCCCCAATTAACCAAACCCACCAATCAACAACCACCATTCCATTCCGTAAGCGAACTTTTCCCGCTCACTCACTCCCTTCCGTAACATTAGATATCTAATCCAGAACTTTGATTTTTCTTCAGCCTCATCCAAAATCTGACAACTCTCACTCTCACTCTCACTTCATACTCTCACTCACTCTCATTTCCATTCTCACCCAAAAACCACGCAGGTGCCAAAAACCCCCATCCCATCCATCGCGCAAACCATCTTTCTCATCTCTCTCCCCAAAGAAAAAGAAACCATGGCCCGAGGAAACCAAAGAGATAAAGCCCGTGAGGCCAATGCTAAGAAACAAGCCGCACTTGCCGTATGTTCTTATCTCCTTGATCATTTCCCTCAATACAATACCATTCATTCCTCGATACCCATCCTCGATACCATCCCCCTACACAATCCTCCATTACAAGCCCACTCCATCCCACCACCCTCTCTACAAGACTCTCATTAACTAACAATCACCTTCTCTCCTCACAGAAAGGCGGATCCGGTATGTCGAAATCGCAGATGCAGGCCGACAAAGATAAGACTCGTGTTCTGTTGATGGAGAAGCAGAAAAAATGTACGATTACATCTTTCATAGTCCATTTCTAATCCAATTCCACACACACATATACTAATTCCCTCACCCCCCTCTTCCAGCCGACGAGAAAAAAGCAGCCGATGCCCTCCTCGCCGCGCAAACCAAGAAATAGATTTAGCAGCAACATTAATATTCCACCTTGTTCTATTCGCTCGCTCACTCCCCTCATTATCGAACAACTAAACCACCAAGCGAGCCAGAGAACATAGCCCTGATGGATGAGCAAGAAATACGTGGAGTTTATTGGCAGACAGGCAGGCAGGACACTCAAAGACTTTCGAGGAACTTCATATTACACTTTTACATTACATTACATTACAAGCAAAGGGTGTTTATTGAGCGTGGAGCTTTCATTTGGTCATTCTAGAATGCGTGGTTTACTCTTCCTCTATATGTGAGGGGGGTATAGATTTCTGCGCGGCGGCGGCATTCTCTACTTCGTGCTTGGTTGTGGCATGCATGATAGCCATGTCGTAGGTAGGCCTTAATAAATCCTCTTGAACAGTCGAACTGAAGTTGGACTGTGAAGGTGTCGAGGTCGAATATGATGATGCCCGGGGAGAGGAGTGTGGATGCTTCGAAATGGCCTACTCCGATCCAGACCCAAAAGTTGCGACCCGCTGTCCTATCCATCAGAACCACACAATTTCGTTATTTGCGCCTGGGATTTTATGTAGATGAAGGTGGGTACCGTGTGGATACTTTTGTCTATGTAATTTTGCTTTATGCCCGCCGAATCCAATGTAAAGACCCACGGCAGTTTCTATCTATGAACTTCATGACTTTTGAATTTCGATCGCTCGAGGGGAATCTCTCCATATCGATCCTTTGTCCCCATGCCCCAACCATCCCACACCCTCAGTCCTCCCACTCTCTAGACCGGCGCAAAGCCATGCTTCCGTAAACCACTCCAGCTCAATCCAGAACACTAACTCCTGCCTCACTTGCATCTGCAGCCTTTCCCACCTTTCCAAAAATATACTCCTCCAAATCCTTATATGCCACCTCCAAATCATCATTCACAATAATCTTATCATGAACCCCCTCTTTTTTCGAATATTCCAATTCCAGCTTTGCCTGTTCCAAACGCTTCTGTATCGATTCTTCCTTCTCTGTACCCCTCCCCCTAAGTCTCTTCTCCAACACCTGATACGGAGACAATTCCGCAGTAGACGGTGGAGAAATAAACACATAACGAGCAGGAAACGGCGGACTCAAAGAATGAATCTGTTTAACACCCTATTACCCCCCCAAATTAGCACAATAATCACCCAACACTCAACCCCCCCCTGGAATAAACGTACCTCCATCTCAATATCCAACACAACAATTTTCCCCTCCGCCCTCTTCTCCTCAATCATCTTCCGAGACGTCCCATATCGATTCCCGCCAAACTTCGCATGCTCAACAAAATCCCCATGCGCAATCATAGCTTCGAATTCGACCATCGGCACGAAATAATAATCGACATTGCACTTCTCTCCTGGACGCGGCGCGCGCGTCGTGTGCGAGATTGACGTTGTGAAGAGGGATGGGTGGTTGGTTAGGAGTCGGGTGTAGAGGGTTCCCTTTCCGACGCCCGAGGGTCCGCTGATGATTATTGGGTTTGTTGAGGGGGGGATTGCTGGGGGTTTTGGTTAGTATATATATTAGTTCTTCTTCTTCTTCTTCTTTCTTTTCTCTAGAAATCTTCTCCTCTCCTCTCCTCTCCTCTCCTCTCTATCTTTTTCCTTTTCTTTTTATTTAGGAACACTAAGAACATAGAAATACAAACTCACGAGACATGCTAGCGCTTTTTGCACTTAAACCTAAACCCAAATTCGAATTCCTACTAAAAGCAGCAGAAGACGAATATCTAGGAGGAAAAGAAGTACGAGTAACAAGAGGAGAAACTTTGCGCAGGAAACTAGGTGTAGTGGTAGTAGTAGACGAAAGTCGCAGGAATTGCGGATGCAGAAAACACATATGTGTGGGAGAAAACCGATTAGTGAAAGTTAATCCAATTAATTAACGTGACGCTTGAGCACGCAAAGTAGGTAGGTAATTGGTGCGTGCTGGGAGCGAGGGCGATAAAGCTGGGGAAACCCAAGCAAACCCCTTATCGACGTTAGGTTAGCGCTTGGGGATCTTTTAGCCTTTGATGTGAGGCCAGATTGTCTGGCCGTAGGACTTGTTGGCTGGGGGAAGTCAGTCATAAAGTATGGGTTGAAAGTCTTGAAAGACTTGCTCTAAATTAACCCATTGCTTAAATCTACCTAGGCAATTGCGGGAGTCATATACTAAGATCAAGCACCAGTCATCATGTCACAAGATACCAATTGCCCCAAGAATTAAAAGAAGATCAAATTATTTACTATTGAAATGAATCCTCTGGATATTAAAGAAAAGGGCTAATTAAGCAAAGGAAAAATGTAGAGATATTCAGTTTAAAAAAGCCCAGCTCCACGAAAGCAGTCCATTAAAATCTCCTTTAAACTGCTCTCAAGAAAATGTCGCTTTTGGCAAATACCGTCTCGCCATCATAAACACAACCAATCATCCAACTCACCACCGGCCTCAACATCACCACCAACTAGCCATCATTCGTATTCCATCATTTCCTTAATAGCCGTTCATGGTCATTCTCTGGGAATTTCTGCTCAATTCTCTATCAGCTGCTGGACTGATTGGTCTGCTACCAGCATGTCCTGCAGCACTGCTCTCCTTGAGGGCCAACAATTGCTTGGCACGGAAGGTTTCGTAGTGGATTTGAGATGTGGTTTCGATGAGGTCTTGGAGATGGGTTCGAGTCAGGAAGTTTCGGAGGTAGACAAATTCGCAGTGGTTCTCATCCTCAACGTTGATAACACCCCATCTGTTTTGACGTCCGCGAACTGATTTGCCTGCAACAACAATATCCTTTTCGGATCCGACAACGGCGAATGGGATGATGTCCTATTATTGTTAGCTTGCTTGCTTGAGACACAAATACGTGTAAATTACCTTGATCTGTGCGTTCAATGCTTTCTCTTCCTCATCAAACTCATCATTCTCGTATGGGAACATCTTCAAATTGTGGAAAGCGAACTCCTCCTTTATACGCTCCTTGAAAGCGGCACGTTCCTCCAAGGTCAAGGAATCCGACTTGGCGATAACTGGTACGACATTGACAACATCTGAAAGCTTCTTCAAGACCACAATATCAATTGGCTTCAAGGCGTGGCCAGAAGGTTGAATGAAGAACAAACAACAGTGGATGCGGGTGTCTTGGATATATCTTTCTCTCTGGGCTGTAAGTTCCTTTCGGAGGTATGCAGAGTGTTGGTCTTTAATATATTTGACGATTGGATCCCAGCATCGATCGTTGTTAACTTGATCTCCATAACCTGGGGTATCAACAATATTGAGTCGCAGCTTTACGCCATTCTCCTCGATGATGTGCGATACGGTTTGAATTTCGGTAGTAGAGCGGACTGGTTCATCGGGGGCGAGTCTGCCTTTGGAATCGATCAAGTGTGAAGCAAAAATGGTGTTGATGAGGGTGGATTTTCCAAGACCGGTTTGTCCTACGAGATAATTCTATTAGAAAATATCCCAAAATGACTTTACTAATGATATCACAAAGTGAACTCACCGACACAGATAACGTTGAACTGAAAACCGCGTTTCAAGAGCTTGCGCTCAATTTGTGATGTGATACTATCGAAACCAACATGGCTTTTTGGGAATACGGAAGGTTGAGGAGCATGTCTATCAGTTATTGTCGACATTTTGGAAAGAGAGTATTAATTTTTGAGTCTTTCTAAACGAGAGTATGATCTTTGAATTGAATTAGAAACAAAAGACGAGGGTGTTCCTTCAAAAGTAATATGCAAATCAAAAGCCGTTGATAAAGAACAAAGTTTAGGGAAGGAGGTCGGGTTAGTCTCCAGATTATTTTGGCGATATAGCGTTGTAACTTGTACTTCAGGGGAAAGTTATTGGACAATTCTAAGCTAATCTTAAAATGAGCTAGCTTATCTTAAAGTGGAAGTAACCTAGTAAAGCATCCGAGCCGAAGTGAAATAGTAAAGAAGTTCAAGATTTTGATAAGATCAAGTTGTCGACAGTGAGGTAGACTACCAATAACACTATTTTAATTCCTCATCGAAATTTCAATCAAAATGGCGGCAGCTCACGTCACTACCTCTTCGATACTCTTGTCATTTCTCCCACGATTGGCACCTGCAACAGCCACTTTCGCAACGAGATCAACTACTTTATACTCGCGACAACTATCCCATCCATTACTTCCATTACTCGCCATCCCATCCGCCATACATCTCAATATCCCTGGAATTCTCGAAGGAATATGGGACGGAATATTGAAAGCTGTACCGAAGAAGAAGACTTCACACATGAAGAAGAGACATAGGCAGATGGCAGGCAAAGGGTTGCAGGATGTTACCAATTTGAATAAATGTTCTGCTTGTGGTCATATTAAAAGAGCGCATTTATTATGTCCTTATTGTGTTGCTGGTAAGGGTTTGCTATAATACATTTCACAGGACCGTAAGTTAATGATGATGCAGAAATTAAGACTTTCTTCAAGACCCACGCACATGAGGCAAACTTTGCCGCAAAAGAAGCCAGGGCGGACGAAATAGCTGAGCAAAAAGTAAGAATAGAGGCAGGACTAATAAGAGCTGCAGAGGGGAAGACAAAGAAAGAGGCAGAACGGGAGGAGCTGGAAACTAAGAGGATAGAAAAGAAGGCAGCAAAGGATGCAGCGAGAGTGATATATGAAAAGAAGAATCCCAAGCAGATTATTGGTAAGAAATACATTCCAGAGGTGGCAGCTGAGGAGGGTATATGAGGGGTAGTCGTGAACTTGTATGTGTATGGCATCTGCAAAGGCGTTTTGAGATATGGGGACGAGATCCTGAACAGAGATATTCCCTCTGAAGCTGGTACAAATGGTATAACTGTACAACCAAAATAACAATATCCTACCATATCCATCACAATTTTGTCCTAAGGCTCATTCTAAAGACCATGTAAAATGTGATTTCTGAAGTTGATTTGATATGTGAGGTCATGACATTTTCTTCAATCCATTGAACCCCGCCAAAGCTTCCGAAGCTTCAGCTTCATCTACATCGTCCACCAAAAATAATCCTCCCCCTAACAACCATATATCCAAATATTCAAATGAATCGGTGACAATGGTCTGTTAATCTTCCAATCTTTCATACCTGAGCTAACATTCCAAAGTCTAAACAATACCTCACAGCACACACGATCGATAATGGTATGTCCATAATAATGCCCCTCCAATTCCACCTCCATTCGACCTCCCCTTTCTCACTCTAATCACCTCTACCCTCCTAACATTACTAACATGCACCTCAGCCCACAAAACCGACATCTTCTCCCTTGCCGTAACCTCCACCTCAGTTCTCTCCGCCTCCGGCACATCCACCCTCAAAGTGCACAGCACGCTCAGCACGCCTCCCTCTCAAACCCAATCTCTGCCCGCCCACAAACTCGGCTGCCACCACATCTGCGCCTCGAAATCCGGGACTGTAGCTGCGTCCGCCGGTTTTGATGGCACGGTTTGTATCTGGACGTCTTCATCTGCCAACCCGGATTTTGGGACCCAAGCGGGAAGTGGAGAATGGTCGCTTCATGGTCATGTTCTCGATGGTAATAAACCGGGGGAAATTTGGGCGTTGGCGTTAAGTGCAGATGGTCAATTCCTCGCGGCGACGAATGTAGATGGGAAGATCGGGGTGTGGGATTTATTGCTATCGGTGGGAGAATCGAAAGGGGATAATGCTGGGAAGAAGAGTGTGGGCAAGAAAATTCGGGAGTATGAGACGAAGGGTAGCTTTGGGTTGTGTGTGGATATTAGTGCGGATGGTAGGTTCACGGCCAGTGGGCATGAGAATGGAGGAGTTTATGTTTTTAATAATGATACTGGGAGGATGGTGCATAGTTTACCTGGTAAGTCATCTCTCAAGAGGGATTTAGTCGGGGGTAATGGGAAAGATAGAACTAATATATACAGGCCTGATCCAACCAATCCGCACCCTCTCTTTCTCCCCTCTCTCCACATACCTCGCTGCCGCCGGCGACTCCTCAACCATCGCTCTTTATTCCGTCGCCCACGGCGAACAAGTCGCTAATCTCACGGGTCATACTGCATGGATTTTCAGCATCGATTGGAGTTTCACAGGTGAATACTTGGCAAGTGGTGCTTGGGATGGTAAAGTCAAGATATGGAGTGTAGAGGCAAGACATTGTGTGGCAACGCATAGTGAAACGGATAAGGCACTTTGGGCTGTAAAATGGTTGCCGAAGGTGCAGGGGAGGAGTGAGGCGTTTGTTACGGCTGGGGCGAATGGAAGTTTGAGCTTTTATAGAGAAGCTACGGGGGGTTGAATGGTTGAGTTTAGGGGGTATAGGGGTGCTAGGAAGAACTTGAAGAACTTGAGGTTCAAGAGAAGAGGGCTTTGCTTGGGCTGATAAGTTCAGCGCGTGAAGATGACGCAGGTTGTGAGCATGAGCATGAGCGCGGCGTTGAAGCACTCGAGGCATAGACAAAAGTTCTAATGAATATCTACAGTTAAGAGCATAGCACGACACTTACATACTACATACTAAATAGCCACCGAGTACTCGAGTATATCACAAACAATACATTCAACCCCATTCTTATTCTAATCGTTGTTTTTTTTTTACGACGAGCGTAAGAGACGAGGAAAACTCAGACTGTATTCAACCAAAAGAGAATATAGCAAGTTGCGCACTCATTTATCTATCTCTATATGTTATCTCTACATCATCGAAAAATGGAGGATTTAGGGCTGGCTACTCATCTCATCTCATGTACTCGAGTATTCTTTAGCGAAGTCTTTAATTTACTTTTTATACTCATACTCGTACTTTTCATATATATAGATACATATATTTATACATGTACATATACATCTTCATACCCATCTCTATACTCTTTCATACCCACCTCCATACTCTTTCATACGGCTTTCTCTAAATACCTACCTACCTATTCTATCTAGTCACTAATCTTTTTAATATAATATAATCTAATCTCATATAATTAATCTAACCTATTCTATCTAGTCACTATTCTAATATAATATAATCTAACGAGTGTTGGAACTTGGATGGGGAGAATAGGTTAGGTTAGGTTAGGTTAGGTGGGTTAGGTTATTGTATGAGTAGATATTGGGGGAGTTGTATTGGTGTGCGGTGTTGGGGTTGGAGCTTGGTTTTGGAGCTTGGAGTTTGGATTGCGGAATGGATTGGGGTATTAGATCTGTGTGCGGTGTTGGGATATGCGGTATTGGGGTTTGGGATTTGGGTTTTTTGTGTGTGGTGTTGGAGTTTGGGGATTGAGGATTGGATTTGTGTACGGTGTGTGGTGTGGATTTGTGTACAGTGTGTGGTGTGTGGTGTTAGGTTTGGGTATTGGTATTGGGTATTGGGTATTGGGTTAGGGTATTGGGCATTGGTTTGGAGCTTTGATTTTGGAGTTTGGTTGTTAGTTACTCGAGTAGAATAGAAGTTATTTTTTGAGATTGATTGATTAGTGGATATTAGATATTAGATACTAAACATATATCTTGATAAGAAAACTAAACTGTCTATCTATCTATCTATCTATCTATCTTGTCAAATCAACTCAAATAGATCCAAACGTCCAGATGCAAAGGAAAAGGGAAGTGATTCTGGGAGTAGTTAGTTCTAGAAGTGTACTCGAGTCTATATTACAACGTACCGGTATGTGTATAGGAAAGATAAGGTATGGTAAAGGTAAGGTAAGGTAAGGTAAGGTAAGATAGAGTAAGTTGTGTTGTGATGTGATGTGATGTGATGTGATTGGTATGAGTATGAGTATGAAAATTTTGGAGGAGATTAGCTTGTTATTGGGGCGAGGAGTGAGGGGTGAGGGGGTGTGGAGAGTGGAAAAGTTCAAGGGGGGTGAGGAGACTTAGGAGAGAAGATATAATTCAAAAGTATAGGTCGAGAAAGAAGAGTAAGGAAAATCATGATATATACTTATAGATTAAATTCTTAAAGGAACAAAATATAATAGATGGTACAGTATAGTATATAACATACGAGTTTAACACATAAAGCTATATTATTATATACAGTACCAAACAAAATCCCAGTCCAGTGCCAGTATCCAAGAGTTCTGGCTGGTAAATACTAAGGAGGTGATGTTTGTTTCTTTATTCTTTGAAATATACTCTATTAACCTGCTCTTAGATATTATAATAACCTTAAGATATCATGACGTGGAATTCATGATGAAGAGGTCTAATAAGTCTATAGGATAGATAAGAAGCCACGAGGGCCATGCATGGTAATATCAATTTTAATATTGTATTGTATAGCATAGCATTTGAGATGATATGAAATGAGGTGGAATCTCACTTGAGGTATTCGTATCTCTATCCAGTATACTTTGTTGTTACTTGATGCAGGAAGGAAGGACAGGTTTTGAGATAGAGATAGTGATAGTGTATAGTGTATAGTGTAGGCAAGTAAAGTTGGCTTTGGATATACCTAGTAAGTTTTCGATCTTTCTATCTCCAATTTCGCTCAACTAAAATAAACTGCAAGGAAAAGGAAACAAACTATCCTGGTATCTATCTCTGTGATATGCATGCACCTCTCTTCATCTGATCGATCTGACTCCTCGAAATGAAATCACCATTGCTCTCATTTCTCTATCATCTTTTCTCAAATGCTCTCATATCTCGCTACTCCCGTATCTATCTGCAATTTCATCCATATCCATAAGATTTCTCCCTTCTCACTTCTCACTTCCCATCCCTCACCCGTCTCAACACAAAACCTCACCCCTCTACAACAAAACCGCACCCACCAATCCAACCAAGCCCAACAATCCCGGAATAATCAAGGTTCCAGCACCACCTTCAGCCGTAGTTCCACTCGCACTAGATGCACTTCCTGTTGCGCTCACAGTCGATCCACTCGTTCCAGTTGCGCTTCCGCTTCCGGTGATTTTCGCTCCGCTACCACTTGCTGTCGCGGTGATTGAGCCGGATGCCGCGCCTGTCTTTGTGGTTGATGCGGAGGAGGATGAGGATGTAATTGCTGTTTTGGTTTTTGATTAGCTTTTATATACTTTTTAACTTCTTCTTCAACTCCATCTTATAAATAACCACTCAAACTTAAAACCCCAAATCAAGAATCCGGGCAACCTCCCCACCACCCATATCATCTCCCCCTTTTCCCACCCTCCTCTCACCTCCAAACAAACCCCCCAAAACTAAACCCCCAACAAAAAAGAAAACTCACAAATAGTAACCCCCGCTTCCTCCAAACAAGTTGCTTCATAAGCTTTCACCGCCTCCTGATAAGCACCCCCCATACATTTCTCAGTAACATTTCCCACAACAGCATTTTCGAGGGTGCCGCAGAGAGATTTAAGATCGGAAGGGTTGGTTTGCACGTTGATTGCTGCGAGCAGACAGGCGGGTGGGGTGGCGGATACGGAGGTGAGGTTGGAGAGGGCGAGGAGGGCGAACGTGAGGAGGGTTGGGGTGTACATTTTTGTGTGGTGTGTGGTGTTTGGTGTTTGGTGTGTGGTTGGGTACGTGGGTGATTTGATGGAATGGAATGGAATGGAATGGAATCGACTGCGAATGGATTGCGAATGAATGAATGAATGTGTATTGTAAATGAATGTGTATAAATCAAAAGAACGTGATGTTTAATATTTCGTGTGTATGTACGAGTAAGTAACAAGTAAAGATCGATGTGTAGGTAGTTTTCAAAAGAGAGGACAGCGTAAACGCAAAAAGATTGTATGTTGTAGAAGTGTAGAAGTGTAGAAGTTGAACTTCGTATATGAAATGAAAGGTCGCGAGTGATCCCTCCTATTGTGATTGAGGATGCTTAATGTGGTATGGCGGGGCTTGGCGGGGAAGTAGAAGGGGTGCACGCTAATTTTAGAGTTATATTACTGGTAGTTTAGTGTCATATTCGATATTGAAGGAAGAGTTCAGATGGAATTTATAATTTGAGAATGAATCTGATGAAGCCTAGCTTATTTGAGACTGAGAAATAAAAGGAACCTAGATTTTATCAAGTAGGGATTTGAGACTGGAGAAGGGATAGGTAGTCATAAGACATTATGTCGTGTCTTCTCCTTGCAATAAAGATTTAAACAGAAAGCAGAGATATGCTTTATTCATTTATTTGTGATAGGAAATTATAAAAGTAAAATAAAAGCTATTAAGACATATCTATCACAACTCTTCAAACCCATTTCATATCTTTGATAAGTTTGACCAACCAACCAACATACGATCCAGTCATATACATGAGTTCTCCTACCATATCATACCACACCATACCAAACGTCAAGCCTCTTATGGGCGACTGTTATCCCCATCCCCATCGATATCATAAAATAGAAAACTCCCGATTCGATTCCCCATTCTAGCTTTGATTCTTTGGGTACTGGTATATCAAGAAAAGAATAAGAGGTCTACGGTCTTCGGTCTTCGGTCATCACAACTGCCCATTCGATTATTTCTCGAGTAAAGATCTTGGCATGGCACCTAAATAACTATTAGAATCCAGCAACTATCGCGACAATCATATCAAGAAAAAGAATACTAACCAGACATACCACCAAACATACCCACACCCTGTACAGCCGCTTCTGGAAATGCAGCTTTTCCGCAAAGACAACTACAAGAGCAAGTTCCATCTGCACCCTTCGTGCCCGTACCCGAAGCCATTGATGCGGCAGCCGCAGCCACCGACGCAACAGGGCTCGAGGCTGTTCCGCTACTGGCTGCGCTGCCTGTTCCGCCTTGTATGGCACTTGGGGTTCCGGTGCCGTTTTGGGCGACGGCCATGGCTTTGAACATGGCTTGGGATTTGCTGGCTGTGGGATTAATGCTGAATACCATTCCCTGACCACAATGACCTGATTGGCGGCAATAGAACCCTGTATTCTGATTAATATGTGATGATTGATTCTTAACAAGGTGATGTACTAACATTGAGGAGTAGCAACCATGACTACCATAGCCATTGATGGGGCTGGGGTAATTTTGTTGTCCGCGTTGGGAACGAAACCACTATCCATTCCGGTGGCTAACTTTTTACATGGAGCTGCGAAGGCAGATTGTGTGAGGGTGTGATTTTTAGATTCGAAACTGAAGACGACCATATCTCCTACGGCGGCGGAAATCGTTTCAGGGGTATACACCAGACCGGAAACACCACCAACGACGACAGAATGTGTGGCTGCTGCTGCTGCGGCCACTGTTGCGCCGGCTGCCTGAGCAACAGTTTTCGTTTCTGTCACGGTTTTGGTTGCTGCTCCACCACCATTGTTGGTCCAGATGATAACGACATCCTCGCCCTTGGCTTGCACGATTGTGATCTCCTTCTCCTTAACAGCAAGTCTCGATGGTCTCTCATTGAGCTCCGGTGTCACTAATCCTCTTCCAACCAGGTCATGTTGAAGACTACCGGCCAAAATCAGTGGTGCTGCGCACAATGCTGCGAAGATTGAAAATCTCATGATGAATGTATTAAGATATAAGGACTCGAAGTCGTATGGATATAAGATGAATATGGAATTGTGATATGTAAGCCGCGCTGCGGGAAAGTCAAACTATCAAAGTTATCTTGGCTCGTGTAATGATTGTGAGTTGAGTGAGGTGCTGTAGTGATAGAAAGTAGCCAGTTGGCGAGGGCCTGCTCGTGATAGTAATTAACAGAAAAAAGTAAAGAAGCGTGAATGAAAGTGTTCACAAGTTTATGAATGATAATAGAGAGAGAAAAGAATGAATTGGGTCTTGGGGACGGTCTTGGTATTAATCAAGCCATGAGAATTGAGATACTGGGGCTCAATGACAAAAGTAATGAAAGCACTTGCTTCGAACATCCTTGATCGAAACGATTCGATGAACGGAAGGGAAAAGGCTCCAGGATGTATCGTACCACTCGGAGATCAAGTTGTCCGGATCAGAGTCTTGAACTGCTATTTGGAAACGAGGTTTGGATGAAGATGTGATGAAAAACCCTAGTCATCAATGCCAAGCTCAAACACAAGAAAATCTTACATCTTTCATCCCTGTACCTTAACGCTGAACATCGCGTACAGCCTATAGTACAGCCTATATGAAAGCCCAATCTTGCCCCATAGGTACATTGTACCCTGGTCCAGCCCTAACATTTACTGTTTTGGATCTCTTGTGGCGCGTATGAGATTCGTCTCAACTGTCATATTTGGGACGACCGACGGGTGGATGGACATGCAATAAATTTTAGTGATGAAGCCATTGTCTTGAACATTAGATTTAAGGGAAGAAAAGAAGGAGAAATTTGATCTGATAATTGACGGAGGCGCATAGGGGGGTCGTGAGGTCGAAATGAAGTCTTATCGCGACTCATCATCTGAAGTTTTTGAGAGTGACCGTTTCATCGCATTCTCACGTTCAACAATGTCTTCCGTAAAATCCTGAATAGATTGGTAGGTGGCAGTGCTCATCACTAGATATCGATATTGAGGCGTTCAACAACATCAGCGATATCATAAGATCAGTATCGAAATGCTTGTGAACTCCTCGTCCCACATATCATCAAAAGTATCAATGACAAACTCTTTGGGGAATGGACTTGTGTGTAACGACAAAACGTAAAGGAACTTCAGCCAATGCGCAACAATATAAGGTAACCGGGGGGAGGCCTATAAGCTTCATTCATGAAACCATACTGGTATACCTCCTGTAACGTCGGTGCTTCTATATGGTTCGAAATCCCATGAGATCGTCCTTTTGTTCTTTTGACATATGCCACGGCAATAGCACAGCTCGGAATTCATACCGATACCAACCAAACCTTAATGTTCCGTCTTAAATAAGATCAGATGGTTCAAACTATCCGTGTCACAGATATTCACGATAGTGACGATTCCCCCATAGAGGATTCATGCTATATGAGTACCCCATGCTTGTCAAGTACTCTTACTTGGTCCCTGTTGCTGCTGTTGACCTTCATAGAGTCCAGTATAATAGCCAGCGTAGTACCATGACATCAGTAAATTCTTGAGATTTTCATCGTGAACTGTATGAGAACTCCATGTCAGCCGGAGTCTTACGAATATCATAACGGTGTTTGCACGTCTCACCTTGACCGATCAACTGTGGTGGCAGTGTTGGTGCTGTTGGTGCTGTTGATGATTGAGGATGGGATTCGGTCTCTTTCATTGTGGGTTGTTCTTCAATCTAAAGAATGATTAGATTTAGTCAAGATGTAGATTAGTGGATCATTTTAATGCTTACTTTGGGTTTGTTCTTCGTTGAAGTATGATCGTCTGTTTTTTCAAACTCGCTTTGCTTGGTAGTATTATCCTCCAGAGGTTCTTCCACAACTTCTTCGCTATCCTCATCCATAGCTTCTTCCCTACAAGAGGTCAGTGATGATGTGATACTGAAGCAACTGAGGACTCACAATCCATTACTCTGGTTCTCGAACTCATTCAATACATCTTCAACTTTCTCTCCACGGGCGTGAATACCATGATACTTCTACTCATATTTCGTTATTAGCAAAGTTCACATCACATCTCGGGTTCAAATCATTTACCTCATATTCTTGCAGAGCTTCATTCCACGAATTCACAAGTGTGGAATCATCCCATACTTCCGCATGGGTGGCATTGGTATGTGACGCCATTTTGCGATGGTATTATGATTGATTGGGGTTGGAGGGTGAAGATATCGAGGAATGGAAGCCGCAGAAGCAGCAAAATTACACCAAATATTTTTCTTCACCATAACTTCATTTCGTTTCCAGAGATATCTTGAATCATAAGTGGTTTCTTTTGTGAGATCTCTCGAACCGTTGACAGCCCAATTACACGTGATAAACACGTGACATATCCCGACCAAATGGTGTTTCTTTCAAAACGCACACTGCACATAATAGAAATCGCGGTACCGATACTCAATCACATTCCGAAAGTCTTCACTTCACTTCACTGTCATATGTATTCATGTATTCATGTATTCATGGATTCATGGATTCTTCAAAATTAATCAAAAGATTCAAGATCCATCCATCTAATATGGGTATACTAGATCCCTCCTCATAAATTTTTAACTTTTTAAATCGTCAACTTTAGTCATTTATCACATTATCCTTTACAAAGAACTTCAACACAACTACTTAAAACAACCATTATATTCTCACTATTACCATATACCATACCATATACCCAATCCAACCCAACCCATTCACCCAACCCAATCCCTACTCTAAATATACGCACTAAAATCCCCCTCACTCCCTCCAAACCCCAATCTCCCATTCCCACCTCCCTTCCCAGCTCCCATGCCCTTCGCCTTCCCATCCCCATCACCATCACCACCCCTACTCCCCGGCGGACTCCCCACACTCCCAAACAAACTCCCCAGCGTAACACTACTCTCTCCATGCTCCCCATGCCTCCCCATCTTCGCCTTCGTACTACTAATCCTTTTATTTTCCCTCGCATCCACACTAATGGGTCTTCTGCCCGCCCCCATCACCATTCGCGCATTGGGTCCTACGAATAGATTGCCCATCACGGGACTTTTTTCTCTTGTTTCTCGCGCTTCTTTCTCATCTCGTTCTTTTCCTTTGAGATCGGTTTCGGTAGAGCGCCGTCGTTGGTTTTGAGACGAGGTTTGGGTCACCAGTTCGGGGGTGTAGGGATTAGAGAGGAACGGGGAGAAGGAGGGGATGGCCAGGGTGTTACTTCTACCCCTAGTACCAGTGCTTCCCGTAGGAATTTGTGGTATTTGTGGAATATTCGTATCCGTTCCATGACGAATGAAATTAGGTTGCGAATCCACATCCGTGTTTTCTCCCATACTTTCCCAGCTGCCAGCGCTAAATTCGCTGGGATGGATATCACTTCCAGTTTCCATATTCTCCTGTCCGACTTCTCTTTCCCGTTCTCTTCTGTCCATTTCGAGAAGTTGTGTGTGACGACTCTGACTTTGTGATATATTTCCCTGTGGCTGTGAAGTTCCATGATTAATCTGGAATTCTTGCATACTGGGAGAAACGCTATCGAAGCGACTATCCATGCTAGCCATACTATCGCTTCCTTTAAGTCGTGACTTGCTAAATGTAGCTTGGATATAAGAGCGCAATTGACGTGTTCCTTCTTTAGCGCTGGAGTAGCCATTAGGGTATGTTATACCCAATGAATCGTTGTTGATTCCTGTACCAGTGACTTGGAGCTCATTGTCGATTTGTACTTCTTCTGGAACGGTAGGAGAATCCGCATAACTTCTCCTCGCTTTCCGACGCACGGAAGCCATCCTACCACCGCTAAAGAATGGAGAGACACCTCCGCGTCGGGATACAGGACGGGTGCTAAAGCTACTATGAGATATCCTACTATTCCCCCCAGTCTCCTGTTCCCAGATTGGTGCTGGCGCAAGAGGACTTTTGGGCACAGTTTTTATACTCAGCATCTCGTTGCCTCCGCTTGGCGAAACAGTTGCTTGTGCGAACTTCAAAAGATTGGTGGAGGCGGACGAGTACACGCTCGTCACACTCCGATGTTTATCACCTTCTGTGTCAATCGTATTTACTGTTTTCCATGTGCGAGAATTTCGAGCAAGACTCGGGTGTTGACCATGGCCTATGCTTCCTCTATGGCCTGGAGTGTTTAGAATATCAAACGAGGACATTGATTCTCGAGCTCCATGACCAATCCCACTTATTCTCTTATCTACACCGTCTCCTAACGCGAAATGTAAGTTTCGAGTTGTCGATTTCCGATGCACTCGTCTCTTTTCGGTATTTTGGCCCAATCTGCTCTGGCGTGGTGCGAGAGGCGACCGTGCAGCTTTGCTCCAATCTCCCGATATGACTGAGAAGTTATCCAGAGGAGAGGATGAAAAGTTGCTGCCCGTTAGGTTTAATATTGTACCATCCGAAATGTTGGTATCAAGAAGACTCATATCACTGTTCCTCGGCCTTGGATCGTTGCCACTAACGTACTGCGACCGCCTTGTATGTCCTTTCCTCGAATAATTCGAATAATTTCGTTGCAACATGTTACTACTATTTGTTCTCGTACTCGAATCCAAGGTATAACCAGTGTCTTGAGTATTCCTCCAAGTGCTCCTATTAGGAGTTTTGCTCAAAGCATTTTCTGAGTATGCACGAGCCCGGTTCGCTGAGCCCTGAGACTCGCGGAAGTTTGACTTTGGAGCCAAAGTTTGCGAACGACGGAGTGATTTTCGGCTGTCATAAACTACGATATTGGGCGTGGTTGACGTATACACACTAGAACTAGCTTCGATAGAGAAGCCAGAGGTATCGAGCTGAAGCGGTGCAATCCTTTTAGCGGAGTAGGTGCGTTCAACTATGCTTGAAGTACTTCTCATGGGGCCCGAAATGTCTTCTTTGGAAGGACCCCCAGAACCTAACGAGGAAGCAGAGCGACGTTTCCGATAATAGAACAGACAGAGAAGAAGTGCTATGAAGACGATTAGTACCGGAACCACAATTGCTGCTATCACTCCTTTGCTCAATTTCTTGCTTGCAGATGGATTTATATCCGATGCTGCGGGTGTACCCGATGTTGATGGAGTCAAGCCAGATGATCCCGTAGATGAGGCGCCATCGGAAGCATTGATGGCCAAATTAAAAGATTCAGAGCTTGAGCGTTTCGATGTCTTAGAGGTGGCTGTGAGTGTGATGTTGATACTGGAGGGCTTAGCAGAGGTAGGCACCTTCCCCGATATCACAAAGCCGTGAGAATCAAAATATATCCAATCTGTTGGTGGAGATACTTGTGCCGTTAAAGTAGTGTTATGGGTGTTCTCAATGTAGGCGCCGAGGCTGAAGGAGAATTTAGAACCAATAGTTGCATTCACATCTTTGATCGGACCAATGAACAATGCCATAGCTATCTTGATGAAGACCAGAGTATTGACATTATCCCCATATATATCCACTGCTTGCACAGAGACGTTATACGAAATGGCGTCGGCTGGCGGTGTGCCAGTTAGGCTGAAAGTAGTATTATCGAAGGTAAGCCATGCCGGTGTTTGAGCAGTAATTGAGGCTATACTTGAAGCATTGGCGGCCTGCCCATCGAGCTGAAGGCTATCCTGTAAACCCGTGTAGTTGATCTCCACCCCTGGTGTGGCGTTGACAACTGAACTTACTGTGCTGAATGCTAGAAGGTGTACCCCGACCCTAAAGTTGAAAGGAATGGATGCTCCAGAATATCCAGCTATGTCCGAAGCAATAAGCTGAACTCCAAATGTTTGAGGTGGTTGTATGAGAGAGGCATACTCTGGAGTTTCACCGCTAAAAGTAAGAGTGCTCTCATCGAAAAGAACCCAGGAAGGCAGAGGTGTATCATCAACTGTCAATGCGTAGTATATAAGTGTTGTTCCGCTACTGCTGGAGAATGTTGCTGGATCGAAGGTGATCTTGAAGGGCGACGAAGGGTGATATAATAATGTAGAAGGTGCCGAGAATGGCCCCTCCGATGACAGCTGTGATTGTGCCGGTATCTTAATTGTCGGTGGTGAGTTTTTGGACACTACTAGAGTGGTATTGGAGGTCACTGAGCCCGAGGGGTCGCTTGCGATCACCCCGAAGGTGATTTCTGTCGCCGTCCCAGTATCAACATCACTACTAGATGGTATGCCTGATAATGTTCGAGAAGTGCTATCTATGGAGAGCCACTGAGGTGAATTCGATAAACTATAGCGAAGAGATGATGTTGAAGTGAATGTTGATTGAGGAAATGTATACGAATATGGTATTGACACGCGTGCAATGGGTGGAAATTGAGAATTGATCGGATATGCGATCCTTGGTATAGCATCAGAGACTGCTCCAAAGATGGCAATAGCAGACAAAGCAGTCCTCAGTGCCATGTCCAGAGAGTCTTGCAGATGTGATTCTCGATGAGTCCGGATGAAGATAGAACTTGCATACAGAATGAGAGAGGATACATGTCAACAAAATGCTTGGATGAGAACGGCGACTGGCAGATGAAATTCGACATAGGGAAAGCTAGATATCATGGACTTGCCATCGCCAGGTATTTCAAAAGGCGCAGTAGAGGGAGGTCCACCTATCGGCATAACCTTACCTGAAGTTCGAGAACCATAGTGATGTAAGGGGTAAGACAGTATCATACCCCCGCCTTACCAGACAATCGATTAACGGAGGGGTTGACATGCTGAATTGAGGCAATATATAGTCAAATTCCATTGACCAACCCCGCCGAACCGAGCAACATGCCAACATCTCGTGGCAATTTTGACAAGCAAGTAAGATTGTCAAAAATCGTTTGAAGTAACTTGTTTGGATATATTTTTGTAATTATTCTCTCTCCAGATGACTACCTGTGGTAATATTTGTGGTATACTGACGGTAACAGAGGGAGGTTAAAAGGTAGTTAGTAGGAGTTGTCTAAATCCTCGGACGTCCCATTAGGTGCAATCTTCATTGGATCCATGCATCATTATCAATGGTTTAGCATTCCTGGCCGAGGATATTCAATTATCCAGGCCAGGGAAATGCCCTTTAGCTGTAAGAGAAAAGTTGTCACAGGGAGAGCAGATGAAGGGATGAACAAGAATAAGCTCGATTCTCAAGCGGTGAACCACACGAGGCGAAGCAACACTTACATAACCCGGCAGAATTCCCCCGTGGGCTGGCTGGTGGGGCAATATCAAAGCAGAGACAACAATCCCAGTCCCGAGTCCGCTTCTAGACTCTCTCAATTTTCCCAATAATCAAAAAATCAAAAAAATCAAAAATCAAAAATGACTTCAAGAACTCCCTCTCCCGAGTTCTCACCCTTAGCCATGGGGTTCGAATTCGCGCCCCTTCCCACCTACAAAGCCGCAACCACCAGCACCGTGAATTTCTCCGGTCTTCTCGAACCCCCACTAAAGCTCCACGAAGATCTCTCCAAAGGATGTGGTGGTCAGCTTTGGCCGGCTGGCATGGTGCTTGCACAGCACATGTTGCGGTACCATAAGGATTCTTTGAGAAATGCTAAGATGTATGTTTGATCTTCATGCTAAGTGAGTTAGTTATCAATCTTGAGAATTAATGGAAATCTAGTCTCGAACTCGGTGCTGGGGGTGGTTTGGTGGGTTTAGCTGTGGCTCTTGCATGTGATCTTCAACACCCTTTGATGCTTTCGGATATGGATGTCATGTTTGAGCTTATGAAGAGTAATATTTCCCTGAATGAAATAGAGTCGAAAGTCGAGCCACTCATTTTGAATTGGTAAATTAGAAAAATATGATTGTCATATTCTTTCTCTAACTAAATCACAGGGGCGAGCCATTACCTGATCTAGTAGTGAAGAATAAACCGGATATTATTCTAGCAGCCGATTGCGTCTATTTTGAGCCAGCATTTCCATTACTTCTTCATACCTTGGAAGAACTTCTAAACTTATCAAAAGATGCGGTCATCTATTTCTGTTTCAAGAAAAGAAGGAGGGCAGACATGCATTTTATGAAGAATGCAAAGAAGAAGTTCTTGATTGAGGAGATCGAAGATCAGGACAAAGAAACCTTTACAAGAGAGGGATTGTTCTTGTACACATTCAAGCGGAAACCATGATACCCAGAATCTGTAACATCAGGCGTATATTCAAGGCGTTTGCTCTAATGTCTATATCCAATCCAGAAAGATACCCGAGAGATTTTATATTCACTCTTCCCCAGCACCCATATTCACACCCAACAAGAAAGCTGGCTCGTCAACCTTATGATGTTCATAGCTCAAGACCCCGACAGCTCCAGGTTCAAGCATCATGGGTAGTGCTCTCCCAAGCTCAAACCCAATCCACCGTTTCGCAAAGGCTCTCAAGATATGACCATGTGCAATCAGAACAACATCCACACCCTTCTCCCCACTCATGTAAGGTGCCTGCATCTCACGAATCTTCGCAATAACCGAATCCAACCGATCCGATACCTCAGCCGCAGACTCACCCTCTTCACAGCCATCAAGCCAGATATTCCAAGGTCTCTCACCATCCAAACCCTTTTCTTTTCTAGCAGCTCGAATCTGAGCAGTGAGAAGTCCCTCGTAGAGACCATATTCCCATTCCCGTATATCCTCAGTGATATCCGTCTTAGCTCCAAGTGCCTCCCGTGTATTTCCATCAAAAAGAATCTCGTATGTGCGACGTGCCCTCGTGCGTGGACTTATGAAAATGTGGGCGAGTCTGGAGGGATCGATGATCTTGCCTGGGCCAACCATCACACCCGCAGAAGAAGAAACTTGTTTCTCTCCGTGAGGAGTCAGAGGGATATCACTTCGCCCTGTATAGCGACCTGAGATTGTCCATTCTGTCTCGCCTGATACATGATGGGATTAGAGGTTTGGTTCGTTCAATTCTTCACAGAGATGGGCAAGTTCTAGACAATGTGTATTGCGAGTGGAGCTTTAGTAGTAAAGAGCTACGATTGACTTACCACTGGCAACGAGTCAGTATCCATCTAGTGTATATTGGAGTGAGACATTGAGGTATAATTCACGTCTTAGCAGACCTGAACACCAGAAGGATCTCTACACCGCGAGTAAACACTTACTGTCGAATTAAGAAAACTCTTGGAGTACCGGCGTCCTTGTCTGGCATTGTGAAAATACTGATCCTTTAATCGATAGCTTCAATTACTGAATTGAGGGTTTAGAAACTTGAGATCGATCAACCCCCACCAAGAAAACTTAGCGTGTCTGATAAGAAGCAACCCCTCTTTCTTATCCATCAGCCCTGGCCAAAAAAGCTCACCGGGGATTATAAGCATTTACCGGGAGCTTCTCTAGAAGTCGAAAATGAATACTTAATATAACGTACATCTATTGCCAACCACGAGAATAACCCATGTGATTAACAACCAATCAAAGGTTTTGTTGAGATGGATTTTTATTTTTGGTTTATACACATTCAATATTTTACACCCTCCTTTATATACTCGCAACCAAATGCAAAACTGGTATAAGCTATTACAAGCCTCGTACTCATCTATACATACAATGCATCATTTACTCCCTTGTCATGATTGTTGATCCTTATTCCTTTTATTGTTATTGTAAACCGGACGAACTTCCATCGGCTCATCAGTTTCCTGAAGCCTGCGACGGTAGCTCTTTGCTGGGGCGGGTTTCTTTTGTGCCAGCCTCCGAACTATTAGTCTATTGGCTGGTAGTAGCCTCGATTCCCTTCCATCGTCAAACGCTGATGGCAGTCGTTGTTGTTCAATATGGCCGTCTGCCGGTGACGATGCTTCAGTATCCTGGCTGTCCAAAAACTGTCCCAGCTCTTGTTCGATTGCAATATCTGGGCTATCCCGAGATTGAGTCGATTCCAATTCAGACTCGGCCAGATTCTCGAAAATTGGTTCGGCTTCCTGATCGATAATGTTTTCTTCGTCAACCCGCAGCATAGCATCAAATATCCAATTGGGGTAGACAGGTGAGTTGATGGCATGTAGACGGCCCTTAAGAATACGATATATATCTCCTGTTTTGAGAGTGATAGCCTCCAAAATCTCTTCATCAACGACTTCGTCCTCGACCAAATCCGCTGTCTCGAATTCAGGCTCGATTGCATTGGCTACATCTGCCAGGGAAGTTTCATTCCCACCAGAATTAGACTCCAGGGCTTCACTTAGACGAGCTCTAGCTTGGAATCTGAGCCAACACCTACTTGACATAACATGATCGACCACGAATCCAGACCTCTTTGTTCGAATGAGGGCATCAGCGGTCATAAGTGGGTCTTGAAGTCTCATGTAGCCCATAGTCAAGGCATTCCAGGTGGCTTGGTTTGGTTTCAATCCCTCTTTCTCAATCATGATCTGTAACACCTTTTCGGCTGCACGTGGTTGTCGGCGTTGCATGAATACATTCAGCAATGTAGTCCATGTATGAATACTTGGAGGCGGTGGCGAAAAACTATCATTAGTTGAATCAAAAGAGTCATCATCTGACTCAATGTCCGTGTCGATCTCATCAGAGGTATTGGGCATCTCAACAGTGTTGTTATCGTCGTGAAATTGATCAGTCTCAGTAGCAGGTACCGGGTGCCGCCGTTTGGAACGAGGAGTTTGCATGTCAGCAATGATTTGGAGACAATCGTGTATTGGAGCTTCGAGGGAACCCAATCCCACAAGCAAATGGTTGTAAATCTGGGCCTGTTCCAATAAAGGGGCGACAATTGGGTTTTGTGTCGATATCAAGGATTTGAAGTGATCGTAGAAACTAAGTAAAGCCTTATAGTTACGAACGCTGCTAATGTATGATTTCAGCATCACAATCAAAGTCACATGATTTGGTTCTATCAATAAACCATGTTCAACATTAGACTCATGGTTTACTACCGTAGTTTCGGATTTGGTCATGACAGACAGATCAGAACTATGTAGATCTTGCTCCACATGAACCGGAGTTTGGTCAGCGATAGCAATCGAGATGTCATTTACCTCATCGTCGGCAGTGTTCCTTAGGAAATTTTTCTCGAATCTAGGAATAAGTTGAGCCAATGGTTCAACATTGAAGCTTCCTAGATAGATTGGAAGCATCCGTGAAAATGACGTTTGAAGAGATCTTCTCTCGTCGGGAGCGAGTTTGTAATATTCTCGTCTGTGTAAGATAAATACTGCGTCCAAGATGTCCGTGACAGTATGACTATTTCGAATGCCATCCTCATTCATCCAGTGCGTCAGTTTTTGCAACGCGACTTCATCTACACGCATCTTGGCATCATTTAGCATGATTGAATAAGTGTATGCGTCCGCCTTGACTCCATTTTCAATCATCATATCATAGATTTGCCATGCCGTAACATGGTCTCCAGTTTGGAGTGAATTTTGAATCAGTATATTGTAGGTGCAAATATCTGGCCTTAGACCGTGATGTAGCATGAAATCGAAAAGCTCCGTATCAGTGACTTGAGCATCAGGGTCACGATATCTTTTGGCAAGAAGTAAATTGCACATTTGTGGCCATCTCTCAAGGTTCAAATGAATGCCTTGTTCAGTGGCCTGGCTAAGGACTTGAAAAGCTAAGTCTGTCTGTTGAGACCGTGCAAATCGATAGACAAATCGTAGTAAAGTCTTGCCATTAAGATGTTGGCCTGTTTCCACAAGTACGAGATAAAATGTTCTGAATTCTTTTCCATTCATCATGGACTGTAACAAGTATACTGAGCGCGAACTCAGCCGGAGGCCGCGAAACTGAAGATACCGAATACTCTCGAAAATTTGTCGAAGATTGCCGGCAGTGAAAGA